GAGCCAATGTGATATTTACATGTGAGTCCAGTTTTTTTCATTTAAAAATGCAAGGTGCATCCATTTACCCAGAAATGTATCATATTTATCCTTCTTTATGACAGAGTAGTACTCCGTTACATAAAAATCTCACACTTTTTTATCCATTCCTCAGTTGATGGGCATTTGGGTTCTTTCTAAGATTTAGATATCACAAATTGTGCTGGACTAATATGGATATGCATATATCACTGTGATATGATGTTTTTGATCCTTCTGGGAGGATACCCAGAAGATGAATAGTTGGGCCAAATGAGACCTATAATCCTAGCTTTTTGAGGAATTTCCATAGTCACTTTCACAGTGGTTAAACAGTCTACACTCCTATAAACAGTGGCTTTCCCCCCATAGTCTCCCCAGCATTTATTAGTTGATTCACTAATAATTATTGTTCTTTCTGGAGTGAAATGGAATCTGAGTGTTATTTTAATTTGCATCTCTTTTATAATAAGTAATATTGAACATTTTGTCATATATTTATTTCCTATTTGTATTTCTTCCTCTGAGAAGTGCATTTTCAAATCAAATGCCCATTTTTGGATTGGGTCTTTGAATTTGAGGGGTCTGATTTTTTAAAAAATTCTTTATATGTTTTAGATATAAGTCTTTTGTCTTTTTCACTCTGCGGATTGTCTTTTTATTCTGTTGGTGGTTTTATTTGCTGTGAAAAATCTTTGACATTTGGGATGAGATCCCAGTTATTAATGTTTTGTACTGTTTTCTGCCCAGAGTTTTGTTCATGAAGTCTTTGCTTACACTTATGTGTTAAAGAAGTCTACTTGTTCTATTTTCCAGCAGATTTAATGATTCTGTTTTAATACTTATATCTTTGATTCATTTCAATTTTAGTTTAGTGCATACTTTTAGACATGGATCCAGTTTTAGTCTTTGGCATATGGAAAGCCAGTTTTTCCAACACTATTTATTAAAGAGACTATCTTTTTTTCCAGTGAACATATTTGGCTCCTTTGTCAAAGATAATGTGGTTGAGTGTGTTTGTAGTTGTACCTGCATCTTCTAATCTGTTCCACTGATCCTCAGGTCTGTGTTTTTGCCAGTAACTTGCTGTTTTTATTACAGTAACTTTGTAGCATAATTTCAAGTCAGGGATTATAATGCTCTCTGTCTTGCCTTTGTTGCTGAGAATTGTTTTTATTCTAGGTCTCTTCAGGTTTAATATAAATTTTAGGAATGTTTTCTCTAGATCTGTGAGGTATGCTAAAAGTATTTTGATTAGAATTGCATTAAATCTGTATAACAATTTTGGGAGTTTGGCCATTTTCACTGTGTTGGTTCTTCTTATCTATGGGCAAGGGTTGTTTTTCGATTTTCTGATATCCTATCCAGTCTCCTTTTTCAGAGAAATGTAACTTTCATTGTTTAGATCTTTTGTTTCTTTTGTTAGATAGATTCCTAACTAATTCATTTTTTGGATGGTATTGTGAAGGGTTTCATTTCCCTAATTTCTTTCTCAGTGAGTTTGTTGTTCATGTACAGGAATGATACTCATTTTTGAGTGTTTCCTCCGTATCCAGTTATGCTACTAAACTTCGTTTTTTAATCTACAAGTTTTTTGGTGGAGTTTTTGAGGTCTTATATGTAGAGTATCGTCCACAAATAGTGATACTTTAACTGCTTGCTTTCTTGCCCCCCTTCCTTTTATTTCTTTCATCTTGCTACTCTGGCTAAAGTTTCTAGAGCTGTACTGAATAGCAGTGGTGATGGTGGTATTCACGATATCCTTGCCTTGTTTCAAGTTTGCCGTATATCAAGCACTCAGAAGTGAAAGGCATTTTGTTATTATTATTATTGTTATTATTTTGATATGTGGTTTATGGTTACAGTTCAATAAACTGAGAAATGTAGATTGTAGATGAGAAGCTCAGAAGTGATTATCTGAGGTGCTCTTTCATGGTAAAGTATTACAATACCAAATGGCTTTCACCTAATGGAATATTTAAACATGATAATACGTACTCATAAGTAGGAGATACTATTATTATTTTTACTACCATCACAATTCAGCCAAACCTAGAACTCTGTTTTCAGGAGTCTAATTTTATTTTTTTTAAGAATGGAGTAATAGTCAATACAGACACTCATTTCATCCCAAGAAATTTAGCTGTTTTTAAGAAGATATACAGGTGAATTATTCTGGGAACAAAATTTGACAAGTAGCTAATAATTGGTTGTTTCCTACTATTATTGTCCAGTTGACATAGACATTTTGTGGATTCCACATCATAATGATCAGCCACAAAGTTTTGTAGGAGGTGCAAGAAGCCTGTAAATGATGGTACTTTCAGTAAGTGGAAAAGAAAGACCTCTCTGTAAGAGAGAAGCATTGTTTGTGTTTGTTTTCTGTTTTTGATACCAGAGATCAAACTTAGGATCTCACACTTGCCAGGCAAGCACTTGTGCCACTGAGCAAAGTCCTCAGCCCTGAGAGAAGCATTCCTGAATCAATTAAGGAATTGTTCAATGATGCTGATGCTTAAATTTTTACATCTGCAATGACTGGGTCTCCTAATTATTAAAATGTCTACCTGCAAAATAGCTTGCAACCATGAATCTGTGGGTGAATGTAAATTAACCTCTGTCCTCAATTTTTCCGGCTGGGATAGTAGTTTATAGAACAATCTTCAATTATATACACTTTCTTGGAAACACAATCATCATTTTATACCCAGAGTATTTTAAAAGCTGCACTCTCTCTCAGAATATAATGTAAATGAACTCTATTTAAATAAATTTCAAGAACTAATATCCTTACCTGATTATCTTTTTGAAAAACTATTTTTTCCCCAAAGTTCATAAACAGGAACTACTGCAGTAGAAATAAATAATAGCTTGTATTTGGTAAGTGCTTTCATATAAAGTATCTCATTTAATCGCATAGCAAAGATGCCTGTCTGACATCATCAGGACAGGTATCATTAGCTTCATTTTCAGTTGAGTAAATTAGAACTTAAAGGAACTGAGTGATTCACCCAAGATTCTCTCTCTCTCTCTTTCTCTGAGTCTCAAGCTTCTACCTGTTTGACACTTAGCTTGCCAAACCTGTTATTTTAGTGTTCAGCTCATTGCTTGTGTTATTTTCAGAGAATTTGTCTTTCTGGTCAGTCCAATGCCCATTTTCCGGTTGAGGTGTAGGTTCCCTTTCAGAATACTTCAGTCACAGAAGAGGTAATTACAAAAGACTTTATTGTGGATTCTGTGCCTCATAAAACAATCTGTTCCAAAGTACAAAGTTTCCAAGAATTTAATCCAATGAGTGGATGATAAAGCAGTGGATAAACATCATCTCTGTTGCTGTTAGCACTGAGCAATTAGCCCTGTACTATGTTCACAGAGTCAAAATTCCCCTGTACTGTAATAATTAAAGCTATTCAGCTGGCTGGCCCACGATTCTGGGTGTTTCCTAGTCCACACACTTCATTCTTGCTGTTATTCTACCAATATTTCCTTATGTAACTGCATTACATTAAATGTGAATTATCTTGTTTTTCATTAGAAATATGTGACCATCAGAGCAAGCAGAGAATGCTGCCAGACCTGATTGCTCTCTGTTGGTATTTATTGGGTGATTAGCATCGCGTTCTCTTTTTGCTAAGTACTCAGTTAGAGGGTTTATTGGGGGCCTTTTTTTTCCCCAATGAGAGCACATTTTCAAGCCATGAGAAAGCAAGCTGTGGATGAAACCACTACACTCATGATTCTGACTCACGCAGTTTTTCCAGGTGGAGGATGTGGTTGTAACACATCGTTCTTCTTACAGTCTTGGAAATTCCAAATGGCAATCACAGAACAGAAAGTGGCTTCTCTTCTTTCTAGGAGCAACTGTATTTCCTCAAGAAATCATGCTATTCCAGAGGGAAACCAGGCACCTTAAAATTAGCCTTATATGCTGTGTAGTATAAAAGTATAGTACACGACTCATGCATGAGTCATCATGCTCATTTGACTTTCTTCTCATGTTTTCCCTCCTTCAGGAGTTGAATACTCAAGGAAACAGTTGAGGGAAACTGGGAGAGACATCACCATTGTTGGGATAAGAGGAAGGAAAGCCGGTGTGCTCCAAGTTCAGTGGGTTCTGAGGCTGTGAGTCAAAATGGGACACCTAACTTACAGAATTGTCATAGAATGTGGCACTCAGTGTCCAATAAATGTTGTCTATTTTGAGAGTGAAGGGAATGTCTTGATCTGGCCATAGGATATAACTATCAAAAGAAAGTTGATACAAAAGACATTGTAATTGCTCTATAATAAATTAACAGGATAGATGTGACTCGTTTATCACTCTACATAAATAAGTCTGATTAGACTGAAAATGTGTTGAACTACGTTCACTATCTACTACTTTGGGGAAGTCATTGGGGGATTTGGCTAGGAAAAAAAATTCTATTCATTGAGCAGCAAGGCTATATTCAGCCCAGAGCCCTTAAAATCAGTTTGAAATCTTGTTTGCTAAATGCGAAAAAATTCAAAGCCCCAAGACCAAAACACCCCAATCCTTTCTAAAAATCAAGCAAAAATGAGAGGAAAAAAAAATCAAATTAAGCATTAGAAATGAAAACTCAACCAAGTGTGTGGTTCATGTCAGTGATCTCAAAACTTTGCATGCTGAGGGAGGAGAATTGTTATGAGTTTGGGGCCAGACTGGGTTACACAATGAATTCAAGGCCAGTCTAGGTGAAACTGTGTCTCAAAGAGAAAAGAAAAACCAAAAATTCTTGACTTACACCCAGAATGAAAAGAGAAGTTATCCTTTCTTCAACTCTATATATCTGTAGTGGTTGGAAGGAATAATTTCATTGTTATAAAAATACAGTCATAAAACTAGCTAAATGGAGTTCTTGGGTAAGAAATTATTCTTCCTAGCTGAGGTTTTTTTTTTTACAATTAGTCAAGGGTTAAATGCTCAAAATACCATTATTAAGTGAGTTTTAAATATATTTTAATTGACACATGATATTCATACACATTTATGGTTATATGACAATTTGATACAAATATACAATTTTTTTTACTTTAAAGGTAGTAAAATACAATAGAACAAGACAAAATAAAGCCAATTGAAACAATGTAGTGAAAATGGTACAGAACTTCACAGCACAATACCAGGATAACAGTCATAGGTACTATGTGTATCTCATTATCTTCACAGTAGTTGTCCAATCAATTAGGTATAGCAAAATCAAACAAAAAACAGAACATTACAAAATCTATCAGGGCAGAATATTGAATAGATCAAAACTATCAGAACAAAGCAAAACAGTGGAAACAATATTTGCCTTCAAAGAGAAGATAGAAGGAAATCCCCCATATTTGCCATATTGCATAAGATCATCCTCCTAAGAGATGCTCAGATTCTGGCCCCAGTCACTGTGGGGGTGGGATGGGATGCTCCATTCTCTGCCCACCCAGCAATGGTGGGAAAGGCCTGCGGGTTCTCCTCCTGCCTCGCCCGCCCGCACCTGCTCCATGGCTGCCAACCAGGTAGGAGGGCCGGTTGTTTCCTTGTTCAGCGCCCTAAGTTCCAGCGTGGCTGGATCTTGGGAGATGCTGACTGGTTCTCTTCTGGCTCACCTCCGCTAAATATACAATATTTGATAATCAGATAAGTACAATTTCTGAGGCAGGAGATTAGGGGACGACTAGGGTGTGACCTATCAATTACAAAATTCCAGGACTAGTGGGCAGAACTTTCCTAAAGGCCTTCACCTGGATCCAAACAGTGAGTGCTGTCTTCAGTTCTTCTCATGAGTCGCCTGTGGCTCTGATAGCACAGCTGAGCAGTGGGAGACGTGAAGGACCGCCGCCGTGTTCCGCCTTTGCTCTCTTCCACAGTGGTCTGCTTTCACCCTGTACAATGAACTTCTTTTAATGGTCTGCACTCACTCTGCAAAGAATGTTTCTTTTTGTACCTTTAATAAGTGGAAAACTTTGCTACCTTTTGCATTTGTTTCAACCAATTCTTTGTCAGTTCAGAAAGAACCTACAAGAAGACCCTAGAGCTCTAGAACCCAGTAACATTTCCATCTCCTCAAACGTTTTCCTCTTCTGCCTATCGGGAAATTTCAAGCTGTTCTAAGTATTTCAAAAGATACAATAAATTGTTATAGACTGCGGTTACCCCAGTGTGTTATACAGAACCTCAGGAATAATTCTTATCTGACTGTTTTTAGGTATTGGTTATCCAACCCACATCTACATCTCAGTTTGTAGTGACCACTACTTTCTATCCTACCTCACAAATTTTTGTTTTTATCTTCCACAAATGAGAATGTGAGATATTTTGATTTCTGTGCCTGGTTTATTTCACCTGACATAATGTACCCCGGTTTCATCCGTGTTGTTGCAAATGATAGGATTTCATTGTTCTTTTATGACTGAATAACATTCACTCTCTCTCTCTCTCTCTCTCTCTCTCTCTCTATATATATATATATATATATATATATATATATTCTTATTAGCCAGTCTAATGAAGGTAGTAACATTATGCATTTTTCATATATTGTACTTGTTGGGCATTTGTATGTTTTTGTTTGAGAAATATCTAGTCATTTAACTCGCTCAGTTTTAATCAGATATTTTACTCTATTGAATTGCTTGAGACTCTTATATAAGTAATCAGAATTTTAATCTCCTTATCAGAGATACTTATCAAATATACTTATCAAATATCAGAGATACTTATCAAATATATTTTCACCCCCGGAAAACTTTTAAAACAGAAAAATTTAATAAAGCTGCAAAACATCAAGTCAATATACAAGACTAGCATTTTATATATCAATAATAAACTTACTGAAAAAGAAATCAAGGAAGCAGTCTCACTATAAAAAATGAAAAATCTCTACAATAAAAGGACAAACACTGATGAAAGAGATAAGGCACACATAATACAAACATGGAAAAATATCTGATGTTCAGTGATCAGTAGAATATTATAAACTACTCATAGTACCAAAGTGATCTGCAAATATAGTTCAGTACTCATCAAAATGTCAATGATAGATGGGTAAAGAAATATGATATATATACGCAATGCAGTGTTACTCTGGACAAAGAAAGATAAACTTGAATCATTTGTCGAAGAATGGATATACCTTAAGACCATAATGTCAGGTTAAATAAATCAGAAACATAAACTTAAATATCACATGAGAAATCCAAAATATAAATAAAGAACAAAATAAAAGATAATAGGAAGTAGGGAGACAGATCTTTCTCAAATAAGGATCAAGAGATGGGGGAGGAGGGAGAGAAGGGAAAGGAGATGAAAAACATGGAATTGAGATGTATTATTATATGTACCAACTCCACAAAAGGAATGCAAACAGTGTGTATGGCAAGCGTGTACTAATAAATAAAAAACCTGAAACCTTTCATGATGCAGAAAAGTGTATGAAAAAGTATCAATGACCTCTTCATAGGAACAGAAAAATTATCTTAAAATTTATATGAAAGCACAAAACGCCCAGAAAAGAAGAAGCAAACTTGAGCAAAAAGAACAGAGTTAGCGGTATTGTCGTATCTGAATGAAAACATACTAGAACTTATACGAACTAAAATAGCATGGTACTGGCACTAAAATGGTCATGGAGATCAATACAACCAAGAATAGAGAGCCTAGAAATTAATCTAGGAAGCCTCAGCCGAAGAATTTTCAACAAATTTGCTAAGAATATATTGTAAAAGTTTCATCTTTTCAATATAAATTCTGGGTAGCTGAATATAAGTATGCAAAACAATGGAAGTTGACTCTCATTTCTTTAAACAAAACTCAACTCAAATACCTCAAAGATCCAAATGTAAGACTTGCAAATATGACTACTAGAAGAAATCACGTGGAGAATCTTTATATGTATTGTTATAGATAATAATTTTTGGATGAAACCTTAAAGCATAGGGAATAAAAGCAAAAAATAGATGAATATTATTATAGCAAACAAAAAGGCCTCTGCTCAGCAAATTGTCAATGATGAGACAACAAACATACTACAGCTTTTTAATGGTAATATCTACAGAAAGGGCTCAGTGGCATAAGTGTCTGCCTGGCAAGTGCAAGTTCCTGAGTTCTATTTCTGGGAAAAAGCAAAACAAAATAAAAACAAACAAAAACTTGCATAGTATCTACAGAAAATGCTTGTTTTATAGCCTTCTAATGATTGGTGTTTTTCTTATTGTAAAATTGTATGTAATCAACCAGTTAAATGACAACATTAAAGTTGGTTTGTGTAGTACAGTGTAATGAGGAAAACAAAACAAAACAAAACAAAACCTAGTTTCCAGACTGTAACCCAGAAATAATCACTTTTCATGCCCGTCTCCATATTCACTTTATAGTACATCCCGTGTGGCAGCTGCCACGCCTCTTCCAGTGCAAGCAATAGATGTCAGACTGCGATCATTGTTTTTATGATTTAAAGTGTTAAAAAAATATCTTCATGATGAGATAGATAAAACAGGGAGATATTTCTGGAGAGAATGGCCTGGAAGTGTATCTCAGCAGAGACTTCAGGGGTGAAAAGGGAGGAAAACATTTTTAGGTGAGGGAAGCAGGTCCCATCATGGACCCAACCCAGCTCCCATATCTAGTGCTTAGTGGATAAAAAGGGGGAGAAAATGACAAGAACTATGGTGTGTGGATAGATATAGGTCAGGTCTCAGCAAGGCTTCGCATATGTTGGTAAGGAGTTCAAGTTTTAAAAATTTTCTAGAGAAATAAATGAAGCAACTAATTTTGAACAAAGTACTAAAGATAAAATAAGCTTAGATTTGGCTTTGGTAACTAGGTAATGTAACCTGTTTAAGCTGAAATGGCCAGAAGAAAAAGAAAAGAAAGTGCCTGGGGTTCAAAGTTTGGTTTCTTCTATTTTGTGTAGTGAGTGATTTTCAGACATTTATCTCAAGAAAGTGAAAAGGGAGCTTTGAAAGTCTGGAGTTCAGAGCAGAAAGTTGGACTAGACATAACTATTTGTGAATTTTTAGTACAGTTTTATACCAGAGTAATGACAATAAGGCACTTGGGAACACAATGTGGAGAAAGAAAAAAGGTTCAGAGTTATTCTATGAAAATCTACAGTTCCAAATCAACTTAAGAAGAAACTTGCTAAGGAGACTGAGACAGAGAGGACAGGGAGTGGAAGGAGGTCAGGAGAGTTTGGTGTCATTTGCCCCTAAGAAACTTCCAAGAAGCAGACACTTTTAATAATGTCTTGTAAAGTGTATAGTAAGAGGCAATTGAAGGTAAATTAACAAGACAAATATCCCTGCCTCAGAATCATCCCATACTTTAGCCATCCCATAGTTAGCTATGAATCACACACGTTACTTCATTCATATTATAATACATATCTATTTATTCTTTTTACTCCCTCTGCCAGTGAATTCATCTCCTAAGCTAACTAATTCTACATGCTCCAGATTCATGTAGTCTGGTCCTTCAAATGTATCCTTCAAACTACTGCCAGGGATAATTTACAAAAAAAACAATAGTCATTCATGCGCTGAAAAATTGTTGATGCCCACTTACACTATTTTGCTCTCTTTGAAAGTTAGCTTAATGCATAAGGCCATCCATTGGCATTTAGCTCACTTCCTGTTTGCAGTTATTAAATCAAAACTACTATAAGGGTCCTTGTATGTTTGCACTTTTGTTGGGTATATAATTGAATTAGGTTTTTTAGAATATTGGAAAATAAATCCAGGTAAAACTGGAGGGAAGAAAAGGAAATAACAAAGATACATAAAAGTAAATATATGTAGACAATAGAGAAAATCGATAAATCCAAAATTTGGTTATTTGAATCATCTGATAAATTGATAAGAAGCAACACTGATGAAGAAAACAATGGACAGAGTGCAACTGCAGCATATGAGGAATGAAACAGGAGGCACCAATACAGACCCTTCAGACAAAAAAAGTAATGGCTGGCTTTATTCACTTCCTATTGATGATGTGATAAGTTACTGCAAATGTGTAGTGGGTGGAAATAGGATGTGGTTAACGTGTTTCATATCCCAAGAATTCATGGTCCTGAAATAGGTCTTATGTGACTGAATTATGTTGTGGGCAGGCCTGTACTCCTCCAGAGGTGAGGGAAGAGAATCTGTTTTCATGCCTTTTCTTGTTCTGAAGTTCATCTGTATTTCAGTGGGTTGTGTTTCTCTGTCAGGAATCACGTCTTTAACTTCTGCTTGTATCAGAGTCTTATCCAATTCAGGCTGTCCTGCCTTCTAGCTACTGTTTTGCGGTGAAAGTTTCATATCATAGAAGAGTTTGCCAAAGTGATGGAGAACTCCAAATAAAAGAGATCTCCAAAGCAATGACATGCAAAGGTGGTAGAACTTTTAAGAGGTGAGGCCTTGTAGGAGGTAACCGGTCACGGAGGGTACACCTGGAGAAGGATTTGGACCAGTTTTGAAAGAGTTGGTGAAGTCTCTCAAGGACTGGATTGCCTAGTAAGTCAGTTTACATATGTGATAATAGTCCCTTACTGCTTCTCTCACCATATGAGCACTCTCCTTTGTATGCATTACTGCAGAGTGATGCTGTTTGCAAGGAGTTCTTCCCCTAAATTGGTGCTGGTATGATCTTCAGATTACAGAACTATCAGCTAAATAAGCTTCTTACCTTGATAAAGTACCCAGGGGAGGTATTTTGCTGTATCTATGCAATGTGGACACTGCTTTTACCTGATAATTCAAGGTAATTTTCCATTTTGGGATCCTTAATTTAGTCTCATCTGAAAATGTCAATTAAATACAAATTATAGGAGGGCATCTTTTTGGTCAAAGGTCCAGAGACCGGTATAAAAGTTCTAGTCACTAAACTGAAACTAAATTGTTAATCT